GTACGTGGGCGTGGGCGGCGCTGGGTGGTTGCTGTCTCGGTCTTGGCTTCGTTAGATTTGTTTGTTTTTGTTTGTTTGTTCATATGTCTCTCTGGGTATTGGTATGCCTCTTTATTTAGTTATTCATTATAAATGTGCATTTAGTTAGTGGGCATCCAAACACCTGGCACATTGGATGATAATATATATATATATATATATATATATATATATATATATATATATATATATATATATATATATATATATATATATATATATATTGAGTGAGTGTGTGTGTGTGTCAGATTGACAGAGAGAAAAAATCGGTGAAATGATCACACCAGATTTCTTTTGATTAGATGAGCCTGCAAAAGGTCATTATCAACCAAATTGTCATCACGTTTCATCATCATAATTTGATAAACGCCGAAGTAATTTGGCCATAAACGAGTTTTCCGCTGCCAGACGGTGGTCATTATATAAGTTTGCAAAAAAAAAAATACGGTACTCTGTCCTGATTCGCTCCCCCCCCCCCCCTTAGCCTTACCCCCCCCCCCCCCCCCTCTTGTCTATTGTCCCTCCTCAACAAGCCCCCCCGCGTAAAATTATATTATTATTATTGTTATTATTATTATTATTATTATTATTATTATTATTATTATTATTATTATTATTATTATTATTATTATTATTATTATTATTATCATTATTATTATTATTACTATCATCATCATCATCAATCATCATCATAATCATTGTCATTATCATTATCATCATCACCATCATCATCAATCATAATTATTATCATTATCATTATCTTCATCCTTATCATCATAATTATTATTATTTATTGTTATTTTTTATCAATACAGCTACATCTATATACAGTATATCTATCCAAATATCTATCTATCTGTTATTATTCTATCATCTATCCTCCCACTCTCTATGTATTTCCCTTCTCTCCATTTCTTTTTCTCTAGTCTCCCCTCCCTCTATCCCTTCCTCATCTCCCCTTCTCTCCTTTTTTCTTTCTCAATTTCTCCTATATCATTTTGGTTATCCTTGTATCTTGTCTTCCAAGATTCCCTCTGTTTCTGTTTATTTGTCAGTCTGTTTCTGTCTCTCTTTCCTCTCCTCCCTCTCCCTCCTTCTCCCGCCTCTCTCTTTTTTTTTTTTCATTTTCTCTTTTTTATCAGTCAAAGAAGGAAAGAAAGAAAAGCACATACAAAACAATGCAGCCTGGCAGAGTGCAATGCTGCATGGAGAGGGTGCAACAGTATAATTCAGAGGGTTTCCAGGTTGAAGTGTCGGTGAGATGGATGCAAATCAGTAACACCGGAACGGACTGAGCTCTGACTTGGGTTTCTTGCTTTTTTCTCACTTCAGAAATCCTACCTGTTCTTATTTTATGTTAAAAGAAGGCAAAAAGACAATCATTTTATATACAAATACAGGCAAACATACATATAATGTATACGTATAAAAACAAACACACACACGAGTATTATATAAACATGAGCACACACACACACACACACACACACACACACACACACACCACACACACACACACACACACACACACACACACACACACACACACACACACACACACACACACACACACACACACACACACACACACACACACATATACAGCATATATATACACCCTAGAACACGGGCTCCAGCAGCAAGGTGTGAGCAGGTCTGGAACGTGTCGAGAACATGCAACAATTTTTCAGGTCGTGCCGAGCAACTTTGCAAAGGCGAAACATGTTTGACACAGCGCTAGATGCGAGGAGGAGGAAAATAAAGAGGAAGAGGAGGGGGAGAAGGGGAGGAGGGACGGAAGGAAGGAGAGAGAGGGGGAGGAGGGGGAAGAAGGGGAGGAGGGGGAAGGTAGGAGAGAGAGATGGGGAGGGAGAAGGGAAGGAGGTGTGGAAGAAAGGAGAGAGATGAGGTGGAAGGGATGCGGGAATGGGTGGAGGGTGAGGAGGAGGAGGAGAAAGAGGGGAGAAGGGGAGGAAGGATGGAAGGAAGGAGAGAGATGTGGAAGGGGGATGTGGGAGTGGGACAGGAGGAGGAGGAGGAGGAGGAGGAGACAGCGGTAAGGGGAGGCGGAAGAAAGGAGAGAATGAAGTGGAGGGAGAGAGAGAGAGAGAGAGAGAGAGAGAGAGAGAGAGAGAGAGAGAGAGAGAGAGAGAGAGAGGAGAGAGAGAGAGAGAGAGAGAGAGAGAGAGAGAGAGAGAGAGAGAGAGAGAGAGAGAGAGAGAGAGAGAGAGAGACACACACACACACACGCACACAACGTGTTTTGACCTGCGTATTCTTATTCACATCAGCGTTATTTTCATTGTTGTGATATTTAGGTTGTACGATTATTACTTTTATTGTTATCGTAATGACTATTATTATCACCATTATTTTTATTTTTACTATTATCATTTTTTTCTATTATCATGATTATCAATACTATAATTATTAGCATTTTCATTGTTATTACACTTATCAT